AGGCTGGAAGTGCTATTGTTGTGACTCAACCTGACGGTAATATAATTGAGAAAAGGAGTTAGAATTAACAACTGGGCATCCACCTACAAACTGATTAGTTGCCATATCCAGCTATTAAATTCAATTGAAACCACTATTGCGACAGTCTCATCATCACTGTCTCTATCCTACTACTTGCCCTTGGTACCCCTCGACTCAGGTTGTCACGCTCTTGTCTCTGAAGCCAGACACAAATATGCGTGCCTTGTTGACCAGGGTGTCAGGGTCAAACTGTTAGTGGATCCCCTCTCACATAGGCCTCATAAAACCTGACAGAGTTGATGCCCTCCCAAACTCGCGTCTAACAAAAGACACCGTTGAATACAATTTGGGTCTGTCAAAAGAACCCTTAAAACTGTAATTAGGAAAGAACTTATTGATGAGTTTGACGCAAGTAGACAAGTGCAAACAGGCACTAGTCGATCCATAGGTTACCATGATGAGATGTATCAAGTGAAACATGTATATGGAGCAAGTAACAAGATCACTCGATTACAAGATGTTGTAACCGCTAGATTAAGGTTAGGATATAAGTACCTTTGGCAGTATGTTCTCAAGCAGATGTAAACAAAAGTAAATGTAAAAGTGTTGGCGCCATACATAGCCCACATATATTCTAAATCCTCGACTGTGTGAAGAAGAACAACTTTAGGGACAGGTCCAAGCACACTGTGTGTAGAAATGGCACAACACTTCATCTCTATGGCAAGATAGCCGACATATTAAGATTGTATCCACTTTTTTACTTAGTAACTATATCAATTCTCATGTACAGAACCAAAAAGCAATGTGAATACCTCCCGTAAATGTGAATAACAAAGTGTGAGGCCAGACATACTGCCTCACCGCCTGTTCTCACCATTGTGAATAAGTTACCTTATGTTTAGAACTAAACAAATAATGTAAATGAAATACTGTGTAACTTTCCAGTGCCATAATATCCTGACAACGGGGTTAATTGTTATGACCCTTGTAAACCCTACTGTGTAATCCTTTGCGCTACCGCTCACAGGATAGTGTAGGTGCACAATAAAATATAAGCTGCAAACAACAAAATAAAAATCAAAACCATCAATTGTCCCAGCGGTGAGATACGGATCTTGAATCCTGATCTGCTGGCCGATACTCAACCTGGGAAGGGCGGGCATGACAATCGTACCGAGCAGCGACATCTGCGGCTCGTTCTGCTGCACGGCGGTCACATTCTTCAGTCTCTGGCCTGCCATTCTTGAGAAAAGACTTTGGGTGGGTGGAACCAAGACCTGAGATGATGTCCGTATAGAACCTGGGCTGGGGAGCGTCGGTGAAGTTCGGGTGTTGCGTAACTCAACAAACCTCGATCAGTCCTCATAATCGATATTTCTGGGGTGACACCTTAAGGATCAGGTGTTTCACATCAATCCGGGCTGAGCAGGGCAGCAAAAAAATCAATCTCTGTATATATACACCTTGATTTTTATTACTCTCTCTAGTCTGTACTCACCCCTGAAGATGTGAATTACACGAAAGCGCTTGGGAACTTCGTGTTTTCTTCTTTCCTTGTGGTTATCAGCATATATATATGTGTGTGTGTGTATATTGATAAAATCACACAGGGAAAAGGGAAACAATGGAGCACCATAGCTTTAGTCTTTATTCAAAACATCTTCAGAGGCAACTGAATTACATGGACAGAGCGAGGCTTAAGTGCACAGGGTTGACCTTACTAAATATGAGGTCAGGTCATAAACATGACATCCACTAATCCGCACACCAACACCACCACACACGCAAAGGAGCTTAAGAGAAAGGGCGACTTGACTAGTCAAGTCAGGTCAAAATTATGGGATCCACTAATCATCTATCCTACATCTAACTCCAATGCTTTAAAAGCATTTTTAACCTTGGGCCACTGACAAATAAATTTGTGTAACATATTATCAGATTTGTACTGACCATCACTAAGGTTTTGTGAATTCAATTCCCTAATCAATCTAGCTTCAACCAGAAGTCTTTCTGTGACACATGATGATTTGCACACTTCTAAGATGTTTTCCCAATTCATGGGCTGATTATTGTTCCTAACATGAACGAACAGCGCACTGCTTTCAGATGCTTTTCTGATATTGTACTTTTGCTGTTTAATTCGGAGTTGTAATGCTTTCCCAGTCTGTCCTACTTTTACTGTACTTTTATCCTCTTCACCACTGATCGGCTCGTTAGCCGCTTGGGCGATCGGTCACGTCTGTAAGGGCTTGGGGCTTTGGAATAGAAATCCCTTGCCAGCCTAATCAGGATCTTATAAGAGGAAAGTCAAGTACCATGGTTTTCCGAGGAATAACAAACAAAAATAAACACAAATTGACACCACTCCCACAAATATCAAATAAACAATTACGGGAGTCAAACAATTAAGAGAATCAAATAATTAAAGGAGTCAAACAATCACGGGAGTCAAACAAATACGGAAGTCAAACAGCAAAGTGCATTAGTTGCTTACAAAATGAATAAATGATTTTCGCAGCATCGCTATTATCAAGTATAATTATTTATGAAATAATTTGTTCTGATTGTCGTGAAAAACATTTAATAAATTTTTAAGAAATTTAGACAGTAACGAAAGCAGAAAAAGGAACACACTTCACTGGTGGTGTGTTGAAAGATATTAAGCATCAGAGTAGAAGGTAGAACAGGAGTGTAAGACTTAAGCGGTGGACTGGTTATGGTGGAGACAAAATCACATACAGTACATTACATTCCACAAGGACTATTACACTCCTGGGTCGGGATAAGGGCAGTCCTCCCTCTTCACACACTGACTGTTGTCTGGATGGTAGTAGAGTGCGCTGTCCAGACATTTTGTTTCTTGGATGATGTGACCTAAGTCACTAGAGTGACATTGGTAAAAGTGGTGGTCACATCTCTGGACGCACTTGGGATGGTTGCCAGTAGACAAACATGTATATCTATCAATGCATCCGTTAGGCTGCACGGCGTTGATACAGAGCTTGAAGCAGGGAGCTGTGGCCAGGCACTCGCCACTCATAATGTCAAAATTAGTGCCATCTGCACACGTGAATCGACTATCTGGGGTGCCTTCTTGCACGCAGAAATAATAATTCGTGCAATCTGTTGGGTCTATAACAAACTTACCCACATCATCCACCGAACAGAATGGTTTACAGGCACAACCCTTAGCTTCGTCTTTTTGACATTTTAATCCATCAAAGAATTGTTTGGTGGGACAATGTTGTGGGTGACGTTTTCTATTATCGTCACATGTATAGAAAACTGAAGAGTCGTAGCGGTCACCCATTTCGTCAGGTCCATCAGGGTCACCACAGGTGTATCTACATTGTCCAGAGCAAAGGTTGTCGCATCTACTACCAGGAATACATTTATTGTCAATATTACTAAAAATCTCACCCTCGGAGCAATTGAGAGGGCCCAAAGGTGTTTGATCAGGACCACATAAATAGTACTGGTGACAGTTGTAAGGGTTCACCACTTGTAAACTTGGGGGTGGTTGAGTGCAGTCGGGTTTACAATACCCTTGTGGTTCTGCACACACAAATGGAACCTGTGAAGAGGAAAAGAGAAAAACTTGAAATTTGAATTTCTCTAACATATAGAAAAAACATTTATCATAGAAATTGATTGGCAACAAAATATTATAAATCAAACCAAAACACACACACACACACACACTACCGTACTACTATTACATTGCTGGCACTCGGAATCGAGTATGACGATCATCCAGCTAAGAGTTGGATGATGGTTGTGCGTGAGTTGATTTATGTGGTGAGGCAGGAGCGCAGGCTGCAACCAAATATCTTGGCTCTCCCTCTTCCTGATCCAGTGGTGCAACGACTGGGGACAGAGAAAGTTTCAGTGGACTGCCGATAGCCGAGTTTGTTGGGTTTCTCCTTAGTAGCCTGTCCATCTTGCATTGCTTTCATCCGCCGGTGTTGTCGTTGGGTTCCCGTGTTGGTCGCCTCTTCTGCCTATTCCGTCGTTGGGATCTTACTGGAGCTCTGTAAGCATGTCTGTCTGACGAAGGGCTTCACCCCAAATTTTTTGCCTTATACCTGCCAAGATTAATCTGCAAGGCAGCGGGGCAGTGGTTGGTAGGCGCCAGGGCGTGTCCACAAGCCGGTGGGCCCATGCGCCGTACCTCTGGGGCCCACTGGTGCTCCTAGATCCCTTGGTGGTCTAGGCTGGGGCCAAGAGGTACCCAGTTACCGTGTGTTGCCACGAGGAGGCACAGCAGGATTCTTGATGGTGAAGAGACTGTGTACTGGCAGGGGAAGACTTACACAAAGTTTCTTCCCCGTCCACCCTAATGGCTAGCCAGTGGCGGTAGCTGAAAGTGAAAGGAAGCAAGTAGTGCTGCTTGCCACGCTAGACACATTACACCACCTTGTGCACACACACACACACACACACATACATATTATTATTATTATATTCATTTATTGTTTATGTACAAATGTGTGTATGTGTTAAATTGTGGTGTCACTGATTACATTCTGCTACTGGCTGCCCTCTCCAAGGTGAGAGGAATAAGTCCATGATTTTTGGCCACCTAGACTTACCAGCGCTAGGGCCATGGACATAGGTGTGGCTTCTTGGCCATATACAGTACATACCACCACCTGGGCCATGACTAAGGGTGTGGCCATCTGGCTACACCAGCACTAGGTCCATGGCCATGGAGCTGTATCAACTACCCGTCCTTACCATCATGAGAGCCAAAATCCAACACAGGATCATCTTGTTGATGTTGATGAGTGAAGTAAAAAGCTATTCCCTCGTCGGGAACTAGTGACGGTATGAGTGTGTGATGGTGCGGGCAGTTACATCGCTCATTTAAATATACACCCGCACGTACGCTATCTATCTTATCCTTGACGTAAGAGTACGTACTCACGCACTAGCACTACTGACGGCTGTTTCCCAGAACCTTGTACCTTATAATACGCGATAAAGAAAACACGTTGACGATCATCTTCCCCGAATGTTCCCAATGATATCACGGTCATTCTTGTTGGAAATTAATCTCGTTTGTTGTGATACAGAAATACCTGTATCTTTGAGAACCCTCGACCTAAGTTACTCCCTGTACCGGGAACTTGCGTCATAATAGTACAAAAGTGCGTGCTTGTAACCCAAGACATCATGGTCTTATACGTAAAGTGTACCAAGAAATGAAAAAAATGAGTGACATGAGAATAATAACAGCATGAATGGTGTATAGTACACAGGGAGAGAGTTAGAGAGAGAGAGAGAGATTACTCATATCAAGTTATAAACAAAGTATAAGCTGCCACACAAGACGCAAGAGAAACTCAAACCCATTCATTTTCCCCTAACATATATGTGAAGTTGTTTACATGTACTCTGTGTATATGTGTTTTTGTTTATATGTATTCTGTGTATAATGTTTTTGCTCACATGTACTCTGTGTGCATATGTTTTTGTTCACATGTACTTTGTATACCTGTATACGTTTTTGTTTATATGTGCTGAGTATATACATTTTTTTTACATGTACTCTGTGTATATAATTTTTTGTTTACATGTACTCTGTGTATATACTCGTATGTTTAGATGAGAAGGATTCTATCGAGACATTTCACCTCCTTACCTGGAGTAAAATCTTACTGGTATCCTGCCTCGTGTGGTGAGTGTATTGGACCATTATTTTGCATATTGTGATATATTCTTCCAACTGGAGATGCAGCCATTATAAGTATTTTTTTATTGGGTGTAAATGTAAATGTTATAACTTAGGGAAGCACACGCCATCTGACACACACACACACATATATATAATATATATATATATATATATATATATATATATATATATATATATATATATATATATATATATATATATATATATATATATATATATATATATATATATATATATATACACACACACATGCAAACACACACACACACATTTATCATCAGCTGTTAAAGTTCACATACCTACACAGTTATCATGTAATATGACTTAGGGTGTTGCCACAGCCTTAGTGGAAATTCCGCAGCAACTTCGTCTCAAAAAAAAAAGTAATTGAAAAGATCGCCAATTCTCTTCTTTTCTTTTTAGGTACTGCTATAATTTTTATATATAATGTAGAGTGTGTTACAATAATCGGCCAACCCTGTGTATGTCTGTATGTAGTAGGTAGTAGGCAGCTACCAAACAAGGAGGTACTACCGCCTGGGAAGATATTGGAAGCATAATGTGTTGTCTAATGGTAGACCCTGCTGCCATATGGCATCACGAAAATTGTGACGAAGTCCCAGACTGCTGATCTGACTTTCTGCCTCATTTACACACAATTGCAGGGTCTCAATTGTTTCTCTTACTTTTACAACACAACATGTATATATATCGTTTCTCACTATTGATTTTTCATTTTCGTATTTCTTTATGGTTCGTTATTATTATTATTATTATTATTATTATTATTATTATTATTATTATTATTATTATTATTATTATTATTATTATATTATTATTATTATTAGTAGTAGTAGTAATAGTTTTGTTGTTATTATTGTTATTTAATTTTTATTTTTTATTTATTATTATAAATTTTATTTACTATGAACTAATTATTATTTTTACTGTTATTATTATTACATTTTCGCCCCAAGGCCCCGATGTGGGCCAGTGACCTGTTCCCGGGTGGGCTAATCCTGTAAAAAAAAAAAGTATGTATGTACGTAGGTAGTTTTTTAAGCACTTAAATTGAGATATTGAATTAAAACCCTGAGTTACTATATTAAAGGAACGTATCTAACCGGTAAGGAACGACAGGCTTGGTGTTGTCCAGGGTTATAGGCCCTATACAGACAGTCGTTGATGAACCTCGCAAGGCTTGCCAGAAGCCTTCCCTCGACACAAACAAGGGCTGGGGTTTGGTGGGTTCCGAGTTCTGGGAAACCTTGGTGGAGTGATCAGCTGTCGACGCTTGTGACTTGCCTCCCCTCGCTAGCTTGGCCAGACAGACGTTGCATCATACCGTCAACACTTGTCGAGTCTTCGTTAACTTTTTAAAGTGGTCAGTAAATCAACCTGCTGCAGGGGGCGAAGTGCTTCTGTGGTGTGTGTGTGTGTGTGTGTACACAAATGGTAGAGCGGCCAAGTGGATACAACAGTCGCCTCCAGTTCTAAGGGTCGCTGGTTTGATCCTGGAGAATTTCCAGTCCACGGAGCCCCAGTGAGGAGAGTGAAGACAGTCCACGGAGCCCCAGTGAGGAGAGTGAAGACAGTCCACGGAGCCCCAGTGAGGAGAGTGAAGACAGTCCACGGAGCCCCAGTGAGGAGAGTGAAGACAGTCCACGGAGCCCCAGTGAGGAGAGTGAAGACAGTCCACGGAGCCCCAGTGAGGAGAGTGAAGACAGTCCACGGAGCCCCAGTGAGGAGGTGAAGACAGTCCACGGAGCCCCAGTGAGGAGAGTGAAGACAGTCCACGGAGCCCCAGTGAGGAGAGTGAAGACAGTCCACGGAGCCCCAGTGAGGAGAGTGAAGACAGTCCACGGAGCCCCAGTGAGGAGAGTGAAGACAGTCCACGGAGCCCCAGTGAGGAGAGTGAAGACAGTCCACGGAGCTCCAGTGAGGAGAGTGAAAACAGTCAAGTATCGTGTCATCCACTGTCGAGCTTAACGTCTTACATAACCTCTCAACTGATGTATGTACTGTACTGTACTGTACTGAACTGTACTGTACTGTACTGTACATTGTCTCAAGAAAACTTTATCACTTCACCATAAAATTGTATTGCATCACTGTTTGTGGGGTTTGTTATAAGTCTCATCTTCCTGAGAAGCAGAAGTAATGGTCTAGTTACAAGGAGAAGTTTCCAGAAAGTCTACCAATCATAATTACGCCCCGACTCACGTGGACACTTATCGCCAACCTCCTCACTGACCAATAAGCTTCAGGTACTCACAAGGTCAGCTGTATCAGTGAAGTCCCTTGGAAATAGTGACCAACATGGTAGCTCTCACGTACTAGAGGACCACTTCATTTAACGTCTAATAAGATGTATGCCTTTTAGCTGTATATACAGAATATTACAGTATACATGTTACAGTCAATGTGTCAAATCTGGAACTCTGTAACATACCCGTGAAAATCTTGTTTCGTCTTGCTCATGTTGTGGTTAGGATAGTTTAGATCAGCTTCGGTTTAATGTGAAGTTTAATTATTATTTTTTTGCAGTTCACAGCTGAATAACTTAACCTAACCGAAACACAACACAAACAACTCGAAACGGAATATTATAAAGCGTATGTTACAGAGTTTCAGATTTGACACATTGACTGTAGTAATCATGACAGCAGCCACGCCCTCGCAGGAGGAAGAAGATCCAGGTGTTAGCACACAAGGCACAACAAATGGCGTCGTCAGGAGGAATCCGACAACTAACACACAGTGGACCGCAGGTCAGGGCCGGATTCAGGACTGAGCAAAGTGGGCAGTTGCCCAGGGGCTTCCACAATCTGGGGGCCTCCACATAAGAACATAAGAACATAAGAATGGAGGAAACTGCAGCGGGCCTATTGGCCCATACTGGGCAGTCCCGTTTACACCCAACCCCTATTGCTCATATGAGCATCCAACCTATGTTTGAAGCAATTCAGCGTATTCGAGTTAATGATGATATTTGGTAACTTGTTCCATTCATCCACTACTCTGTTTCCAAACCAGTGTTTACCTATTTCACGCCTAAATCTAAATTTGTCTAATTTAAAACCATTGTTGTGAGTTCGCTCCTGGTTGGATAATTTGAGTACCTTTGTAATGTCCCTTTGTTTAGCCCTGCCTTCCACTTATACACACCTCTATCAGGTCGCCCTCGCTCTACGTCTCTCAAGGGAGTGCAAATTAAGATGCTAACCTGTCTCTATACTCAAGGTTCCAAATGCCCGGGATTAGTCTTGTCATTCTCCTCTGAATTCTTTCCAAGGATTCTATATCCATTCTGTAATACGGTGACCAGAACTGAACTGCGTAATCCAGGTGTGGTCTCACAAGAGCAAGATACAGTTTTAGGATGACCTCGCTAGTCTTGTAACTAACACTCCTTTGTATGAACCCAAGTACTTTATTAGCCTTGTTATGAGCAAAAACACACTGTTTACTTGGCTTAAGGTTCCTACTTATCATCACTCCTAAATCTCTCTCGCAGTCGGATTTCTCTATGGCATCGTTGATCATCTGGTATCTGGTTTCCCTGTTTACATCTCCTATACTGAGTACTTTACATTTGCCGACGTTGAATTTCATCTGCCATTTTTCAGACCACTCGAAAAATTTGTTTAGATCTTCCTGTAGTTTTGCCGAGTCCTCGTCAGATTTGATAACACGTCCTATTTTAGTGTCATCAGCAAATTTACGTATGTTGCTGTCTATGCCTATATCTATGTCGTTTATGTATATAATAAACAATAATGGTCCAAGTACTGAGCCTTGGGGAACTCCACTTGTGACGTTGCTCCAATGGGACTTAGTGCCGTTAATGCTCACTCGCTGTTTCCTGTCCTGTAACCACGCCCTAATCCATTTAAGGATGTCACCTTTGATGCCATGAGCTTCTACATATTACAATATTTTATTTATTTGTTTATTCATTTGGATTATTTTTATTTTCATTCTTTAAAATTCATGTTTATCTATTCCATTACGTAAAACTATGTTCAGCAAGAAGCGTGATAGAAATTAGGCTAGCTACTCCTTGAAATTCATGAATTCATGGTTTTCCTATGAACTGTATATTTTTAATGAATGCTATTGTTTGTGTTGCTAATAATATATTTAGAATTCCACAAACACATATTGATTAAAAATGAACTACATGGAATAACGAAATTGAGATTAAAAAAACAAATAAAATATTTTTTTCATTATCACTTCCATTACGAATGCCATCAGGGCGCTGTGTTTGTTGAGTCTGTCGGAGGAGGTTGGGTCGTGTGGTATCTGCACATCAGTTGTCATGTGTCTGTCGTTTAAAGAGACTTGCATCGCCCATGATTCGTGAACTTCCCACGAGTAGACATAAACATGTCTTGCAGATGTAAAATGAGAGAGAGAATTATCATGTGTGCTTGTTGAAAATTTTCCCGGGGGGGCTTACAGCGCCCCCCGGAACTCCCAGATGTTTAGGCTCGCTTCACTCGCCACCCCACCCTCTTGGGTAGTAATAATGAGGGGGGCCTCCACAAAGAGGCTGCCCATGGGCCTCCACAGGTCTAAATCCGGCACTTCCGCAGGTATATAGAGTACGTCCAATAACAAACTTTGGCGGCCACCTGGAAGAATGGTAAACAACTGCTTCACCTTGGCAACCACTTATCTTTACCTCAATGCAACAGGAACGGGAAGAGCAGCCCAACCTAACCTAATCTATCCTTTCATAAAAATTAAGTTATTCTTGAGACTGAAAAAGAAGAGCAGAAGAATAATGGAGAGGTATGGAGAAAAGAGCGTCTTGCTGAGTAATAAATTTATAGTGGTCCCCAATAAGAGACATTGTATGATAATGATGATAAATAATGAATGATAATTATGTTAATGATAATAGTTTGTCAAACCATGTGACAAGTGACTCGAGGTTCTCGTCGTGGGTTGATGCGTAATAAATGTACTTTGTGGAGGACGATATTCAGGGTAGGAGGTCATCCACCCACCTTGAGCCTTACAACAGAGGGTTAAATATGATACTAGGTAGACATATAAGAAGCTTGAAGGAAGGTGTGAGAAGCGTGGCAGATGTCACACTGATATAAGTCCTCTCGGACATCTATATAAGTAAAAGGTCCTCACCTCCTACATATTGATTCTGAGTGAGGGTCGCTCGCTCACCTGGTTACCTTCACCTGTTTACCTTCACCTGGTTACCTTCAACTGGTTACCTTCACCTGGTCACCCTCACCAGGTTACCTTCACCTGGTTATCCTCACCTGGTTATCTTCAACTGGTTATCTTCACCTGGCTACCTTCACCTGGTCACGTTTCACTTTCATATGGCCAGCATCCAACTCCTCCTTGGGGTCCTCGCCCTGGTAAATCCACAGTACTTATACGTGTACATTTATACCAACTGATAAAAGAGACAGGGTGTAGAAGTGACATAATTATATAGTTAAATTATGTATTCCAAGACAAAGATAATCGGCATTACCTCATGTTGAGAGACCATCGGTTATAATAATGTTTTTGATTTATTGAGTAAAGTCTCTGTCATAAACTGTTTGAGGAACTAAAGAACTGAAGAAACTTTATTATTAATGACTCGCACATAAATGTTGTCTCGACAATCAGGTGAGGCACAGGTGGAGAAAACTAGAAAATCAAAAAGGATTACGTCCGCCAAGGTGATGTTTACACTTCGTCACAACTGCAAGCTTTCTTTATTTACTGAGGGTCGGATGCCACCCCCGTCCCCTGTTCCCGCCGCTCACATCCGCCCCCTCACCTCCCCATCCTCACCTCCCCATCCTCACCTCCACCCCCTTACCCCCATCACCCCCCTTCTCCCAGTGTCGCCACATTTACATTCCAAATAATTCTTCATGTTGAACCTACGCTTTACTGTATATACTGTTGTTAGTGTTGCAAGAATTTTTGTAGTTCCACAAAGTTTAAATTTGAGTGGACAGGAAGTGAGAAATAATTATTTTAAATTGAATGGTGGTAGTTGAAACAGACATTGTTGTTGTTGTTGTTGAGGCGCTTCACCTGCCGTAGTTGTTAACGTAGTTATCTTGGTTTATTGTTAACAACACATGACATTAAAATGAGATTACAGAATGGATATAGAATCCTTGGAACGAATTCAGAGGAAAATGATCAGACTAATCCCGGGCATTAGGAACCTTGAGTACAGAGACAGGTTAAAGCATCTTAAATTGCACTCCCGAAAGAGACGTAGAGTGAGGGGCGATAGGATCGAGGTGTATAAATGGAAGTCAGGGCTAAACAAAGGGGACATTACAAAGGTACTCAAACTATCCAACCAGGAGCGAACTCGTAACAATGGTTTTAAATTAGACAAATTTGGATTTAGACGCGAAATAGGTAAACATTGGTTTGGAAATAGAGTAGCGGACGAGTGGAACAAGTTACCAAATATCATCACTAACTCGAATATGCTGGATAGCTTCAAACATAGGTTGGATGGATATAATGAGCAATAGGGGTTGGGTGTAAATGGGACTACCCAGTATGGGCCAATAGGGCCACTGCAGTTTCCTCCATTCTTATGTTCTTATGTTCTAGATGAAATTTCCTCACGCTGACCTCTCTCACTTATTACATAATACAGAAAAACTCTCTCATGTACAGTACACACACACCCACACACACAGACTCACACACATACACACACACACACACACACATAATAAATAATAATAATGGGTGTCCCTCGTGTAACGAGGATGGCCGGCCCTATATGGCTACCTAGGCGTGGATTTGTTAAAGGTGTATAAGCTGTCACCAACACAAACAACCACACCCTAAGTTAACGAGTTGCATGACCCAGTGTCAAGGAATAGTCCGAGAAGACCGGACAACTCGTCAACTGCACTGGCTAACCATTACCCCGGAATAGGATCCGCAAATGGATTACATAAGAACATAAGAACATAAGAAAGTGGGACTGCAGGAGGCCGACTGGCCCATACAGGGCAGATCCCTTTCACACCCATCCCAGCACTTCCATGTGCCTATCCAACTTCGTCTTGAAGCTCCTAGCGTCCCCGATCCTACTATAGCACTCGGTAGCCTATTCCACATATCCACAACTCTATTACCAAACCAGTGCTTGCCTATATCCTTTCTGAATCGGAATTTATCTAATTTAAAGCCATTTGTTCTAGTTATTTCGTTATTACTGAGCTTCAGAACATCTTCCATTTTACCCTTGTTAATCCCACTTACCCACTTGTACACCTCTATCATATCTCCCCTAACTCTTCGCCTCTCTAATGAATGTAAGCCTAAGCTTTTCAGTCTTTCTTCATATGGAAGGTTTCTAATATTATGGATCATTTTTGTCATTCTTCTTTGTACTCTCTCCAAAGAATCTATGTCATTCTATAATAAGACACCAGAACTGAACCGCATAATCCATTGGCCCACTAATGCCATTAAAGTTCAAGATAACGTCAGCAGTTCTGTTACTCACAGACCTGAATATGAACCCAAGTCCTGTTTGCCTTGATGCGAACGCTAATACGTGTTTTCTGGGTTTCAAGTCGTTGCTAACAAATACACCTAGATCTTTTTCACAAACTGAGGTTTTCTATTTCCGTATTACCTAGTTTATACTTAACGTTTTATTCGTCTTCCTATCTGTAGACCTTGCATTTATCAGTATTAAAATTCATTTTGCCAGTCTACTGACCACTCATGTAAGGTATGCTGACCACCTCATGTAAGGTTCTCAATTACTGCTGGGTAGACAGAGGCAAGTGGCGTAAAGAAATTGCCCGTTGTTTCACTCTGCCCGAAGATCGAACTCAGGTCCGCTCGCTTGCGAGACGAGCATGCTGGCCATTACACCACACACACGCACACACACGCACTCACACAACACACACACACACACTTCTGGCTGCCAAGCTCTTTCAATAAACCGTTAATTATTATTATTTTATTATTACACACACACACTACTACTACTACTTTGCTGTCACTTGGAATCACGTATGACGATCATCCAGCTATGAGACAATGATCAGTTATTAAGGATGTCACCTTTGTTGGTGAGCTTTGAGATGACTAGAAAGGATGATACGGGACCGGCAGGATCGTCCACAGATGTTGCACGTGTTGGGGGTTACATCTAGTGCGGGAGGGGCTGCGGCAGCGTTTTTCCGACGTTGACGCTTGTCTGCCTCGGTATGCAGTCGGGCGAACACGAAAGTATTGATACCTTCTTGTGTGGTGATCCTTCAAGCATTACGGTGTGGAGTAATCGTCTCCCCGGTTGGGGGGGGTGGGTTTGGTACTTTTTCAGGTTTGTCTTAAGACTATCCTTATTCCTTTTCAGTTGCCCGCCAGCATTACGTTAACTATTCGTTAGGTAACTGTAAAGTAGCTGCTTTGGCAGTCTACTGTCGTCCATGCGGGTAACATGGCCAGTCCAACGTAGTTGTTCATGGATAAATGGTAACCTCGATACTCCTACAGTTGGTGTCAGCGAGAATACTGGCATTTGTTCTCTTGTGGATACGTTGGTGAAAGTTTTCAAGTGCCTTGCGGTGCCTCCTGTATGTGAGCCATGTTTCGCTGCTCTATAGCAGGGTGGAGAGGACCACTGCTCGATATACGTGCAACATCGTAGATAATTTCAGCTCCCTACAGCTGAAGACACGGGTATGGAGTCTGCCAAAGGCTTGAGATCACATCTGATCCGATGTTGAATCTCTTCATTGATATCTGGAGTGGTGGACAGGTGGGAACCGAAATTCCGAAAGTGGGTAACATTAGAGAGAGGTAGTACCGTTAAGCTGATGGAGGTGTGGTAGGCGCAGGGGCAGGCTGAAAGAGAATCTAAGTCTTACGTACATTCACCTCAAGGCCTAAGTATGCAAACGCATCTGCGTAGGTGTTCAGGGTCTCCTGTAGGTCGCGTTCAGTGAGCGACAAGGGTGAGGACGTGTGCATACTGAAGTTCAGTAATGGAAGTTGCCGTGTTTGTTTCATAAATGACATGCCTGACGTTGTACACTCCTCCGTACAAATGTTTGCCGATGACACCAAGTTATTTCGGGAAATCAAGAACCAAGTGAACTGTGAAGAACTGCAGAAGGATCTCTTTGATCTCCAACAATGGTCGATGAAATGGCTGCTGAGGTTCAATGTCACGAAGTGTTAGAGGATGCACCTGGGGCGTACCAACGGTAAGGAAGCGTATGATATGTCCCAACGGGATGAAGAAACTGCACTGTTTGAGACTGATTGTAGAAGGACCTAGGTGTGTATGTTGACAATGAGCTGAAATTCTCGGGCCATTGCGAGAAGAAGGTAAACCAGGCAAATAAATTATTAGGTCTTACAAGAAGGTCTTTCAGATATCTAGACAGTCCGTCCCTCGTGAAGTGCTTCCCCATCTGGAGTAAGGTCACCCCGTCTGGTCCCCGAGATATGCCTACGGCACTGTCAGTTGGTTGAAACTGTTCAAACGAGGGCCACCAGACTGGTGCCTGTACTTCGGCACCTCAACTACCCTGAAAGATTGGAGCGCCTGAACTTGCCTAGCTTATGCTACAGACGGGCAAGGGGGGGACCTAATTGAGGTGTATGAGCATCTCAAGGGGCACTACTGAGTCGAGTGTCCTTACCTGGAGCTGGCGGACGCTCGCCCCACAAGGGGTCACAGCTCAAGATTGAAGAAGCCTCGGGTCGAGAAAACTGTAGGGGTAAACTTTTTAGGAGTGAAAGTTGTAAACTCTTGGAACAATCTGCCAGAAAGTGTTGTGACGGCACCGAGTGTGAGCTCTTTGACGATCAGACTTGACCAACACTGGAGCAGGTTCAGGTACATTCAGGAGCCGGTGCATGCCCAGTTCTTGCCAACAGTGCGTAACAGAGACGTGACCGATCGCCCAAGCGGTTAACGAGCCGATTTGTGGTGAAGAGGATAAAAGTAAAAAGACACATGTGCTCCTGCCTGGAGCCGTCTTATGTTGAAAAGACCCTTCATCCGGTACTGGATGTCACCCCCGCCGGCTAAATTGGTACTGGCATGAGTAATGAAGACACACACACACACACGCACGCACACACATCTACACACACACACACACACACACGGGCTGGCGACTAATTCCATACTTACTGGTCAATATGTTATTTGATGAATATATTTGTCGATTTTACAATTGATTTACATTTTTATTTACAGCTGATTCTCTTAACGCGCGTATTGCGTCTCACTCTTTCATTCCTTATATATCGAGGTCACTGTCATGTCAAAAACCATGAATATTTTTCAATATTTTATACAGTATGTAATTCTTTGTAGTTTTTGTTAGACAAAATAAAACATGTTAGTGTTACAAGCAGGAATAGAAGAGATAATATATATTAAGTAACTAAAGAGTAGGAGTGAAAATATAGTAGACCAGAGTTAAGTGTTGTGCAGGTTCAGGCATTTACTGTACAGCTCAACAATAAGGTGCTGGAGAAAGTCGAGCTATTATATATTTAGGCAGCTTGGATTCAACTAATAAGTGTTGTGTACATTAATTATATGAAAAATATCTATAAAACAATGTTCTTTCTGACAGGTGGTGTCGGTGAGCGGGGAGACCTCCCTACCCTACTGTAAAATTGACTGCAGCCATTACAAGACACATCACCTGACAGCCGACCCTTTAGACCAACATAGATTCTATTTGTGTAAGAGTACAGCAACGTGGTATGAGGAGTCAATTGCCTGCGACACCGGTCTTGACTTCGATGTTGTTACTTGCGACTGCATGGATCCTCATGACCCAAACTATCAACCTACACCACTTTGTGAGAAATGCGGCTTTGACTGCACGACCGTAAAGGACGGCAAACGCGCATCCCCAGCAGCCTGTAATTTATATATAGAATGTAGTGGCAGCAAAGACGGAGAAATGAAAGCATGTGGCGATAGCACTCCATATTTCGACGGTAACGTTTGTCAGACAAATGAAAGTAATTGTTGTACATGTCATCCACATTGCACTGCCAAAGACACAACTAATAATAAGTTTATACCTGATAAATTCAACTGTACAAAGTTCTACCTTTGCGTCACTGCTGGAATGATACACTCAATCTGTGATGAAGGTAATTTTGATGTGGAGCAACAAAAGTGTTGGGTAGGCGCCCCCTGTAATGAAGAGTGTTATGGCACCGGCTGTGTAGAAACACTGATATGTAAACAAACTGGCTTTTTCCCGAAGTGTACAACAAGTTGTAACCCACACTACTTCACATGCAACGCATCGCAAATCGGCAAGGAGGCAGGGATATTGACCTGCCAGAACGGTAACGTCCTGGACCCACAGACTATGACCTGTATCAACCCGGACGACTGCCCGTTCTAGCTTCAGTATTGATCATGTCTCCCGCCATAACCATGTTTGGTCGATGACACTGATATTAAAACACTGCTCACGCCTTACTGAGAAATTAATGGACTTCGTCACACAAAAATGTTCAGCTACTGCTTATTTTATTTATTAGAGAAGTTAACACAGGCTTGTGTGTCTGCCATGATCATGGTGCATTATTTTGTGTATATGTCTAAGTTAAGTAGGTTTACTGGGGACTGTGAGGTGAGATAAAAGGTTATTAATGGTTTAAATATCTTATTAATCATTATACAGTATTCTATCCATGTATGAAGATTTGGTGTTATGATGAATAAAGTCAGTATAAACAGTTAATGATTTATATTCTATACTGTACAAGGTTTATTCTTCCTTTTTAAGGCAAGTAGGTGGATAGGTTAGGTTAGGTTAGATGGTATGGGTAGTGGTAGATGATACCTTTCATTGGACGGTGAGAATTTCCAACATAGGACTTCAAACACATCTAACCAAGCCCGTGGTGACGTCAGTGTTCGAGAATTCTGGACGCGGGGACAGCGAGCCTTCTTCGACATCAGGATTTTTTATTCCATGGCCGCATGTCACCGTAACTTAGCTCTCGATGCTGCACACGAGAACGAGAACGAGAACGACAAGATAAGGGCATAGGGGAGAGAATTCAGAAAGTTAATCAAGGCAGCTTCACTCTTCTAATGGTCACAACCTCTGGTGGGATGGGACCAAGTGCAAGATGCTTCTATGCCAGACACGCGGAGGTGCTACCAGAACAGAAGCAGCAGCCCAGAAGTTATGTTACAGCCTGGATGAGATCTTGACTGTCCTTCTCTCTCCTTAGGTCGGCTTTGCTCTGCCTCAGGGGAACGAGAGCATCGGCACCAAAGCCGACAACTGCTGCAGATATTGACTATGAGGCTACAGTCACTGAATGCCGCATAGATTCTGCGGCTCAACTAATTTAACACAGATAGGATAGCTACATATGTATTAGGATATTTAATTTTAAGGTAATAAAATGGCGGCGAAGGTATGGCTATAAGGAGACGATGGAGGCGTAGATGGTATAGGTAGTAGTAGATGGCATGGGTAGTAGTAGATGGTATAGGTAGTAGTAGATGGCATGGGTAGTAGTAGATAGTATGGGTAGTAGTAGAAGGGATAGGTAGTAGTAGATGGCATGGGTAGTAGTAGATGGTATGGGTAGTAGTAGATGGTATGGGTAGTAGTAGATGGTATGGGTAGAAGTAGATGGTATGGGTAGTAGTAGATGGGATAGGTAGTAGTAGATGGTATGGGTAGATATTGACTATGAGGCTACAGTCACTGAATGCCGCATAGATCTGCGGCTCAACTAATTTAACACAGATAGGATAGCTTCTTATGTATTAGGATATTTAATATTAAGGTAAATAAATGGTGGCGAAGGTGTGGCTATTGGGGGAGGCTGGAGGACACGTAAAAAATAAATGGTATGGGTAGTAGTAGATGGTATGGGTAGAAGTAGATGGTATGGGTAGTAGTAGATGGTATGGGTAGTAGTAGATGGTATGGGTAGTAGTAGATGGTATGGATAGTAGTAGATGGTATGGGTAGTAGTAGATGGCATGGGTAGTAGTAGATGCAGGCGGGGTAGTAGTAGACAGGTGGCAGTAGTAGATAGTATGGGTAGAAGCAGATGGTATGTGGGTAGTAGTAGGATGGTATGGGTAGTAAAGAGATGGTATGGGTAGTAGCAGATGGAGTAGTAGTAGATGGTAGTAATAGATATATGGGTAGTGAAGATGGTATGCAGATGGGTAGTAGTAGATGGTAAGGGTAGTAGATGGGTATGGGTAGTAGCAGATGGTAAGGGTAGTAGTAGATGAAGGGTAGTAGGAGATAGTATGGGTAGGAAGTAGATGGTGGGGTAGTAGTAGATGGTAAGGGTAGTAGATGGGTGGGGTAGTAGATTACATGAGTAGTAGTAGATGGTATGGGTAGTAGTAGATAGTATGGGTAGAGGTAGATGGTATGGGTAGTAGTAGATGGTATGGGTAGTAGTAGATGGTATGGGTAGTAGTAGATGGTATTGGTAGTATATGGTATGGGTAGTAGTAGATGGTATGGGTAGTAGTAGATGGTATGGGTAGTAGTAGATGGTATGGGTAGTAGTAGATGGTATGGGTAGTAGTAGATGGTATGGGTAGTAGTAGATGGTATGGGTAATAGTAGATGGCATGGGTAGTAGTAGATGGTAGTTGTATCTTGGCTTCTTCAAAGTTACTGAAGGTTTCTGTTGTCTTGTGATGGCACACGTGTAAAATCTGCCCGGAACAGGACAGCCTTACTATTATAGTCATCCTTCACACGACAAGAACGAAACATACCGAGTGTTTTGGTTAGCTTGTTCTTTTATCTGAAATATGTAGTGAAGGGATTACATTCTTATTCCTGGTTGTTGTCCAACAAAATACTTTTTTTTATTATAATTTTAATTATTTGTTTATTGAAGATACAGAGTATAGACCAGGCCTCGAAGGTCGTGAAATCAAGGTAATAACTAACAAATATACTTAGCTAGTGTGTTATAGTTTCCACGGGTGAAGAAGTTAAGACATTATAGTATTATTATACCCTCTTGTCCAAGTTGTCGTCCAGCTTCACATGGGGTTGCCTTTCATCATTGTAAGAATCAGCTAAAATACCTTTTGATCACACGTGTATAGAATTGTTTTATAATGAAGTAAGGTTTTGCTTTTACCTTATGTTTGGCGTTGAGAGAAGAGAAAACTGCTCTCACGAAGTTGAGGAATAATAAGCGATCAGGATATAAAAATGTGCCGCCGGCTGAACTATTCTAACAAGGTAGAGAGGAAGTGTACCGGAAGATCAAAATTAATATCGTGAAGTAATATAAATGTCTCGGATCGACACTCACACCAACTAATGAAATTACAAAGGAATTTAAATCAAGAACAGCAGCAGTGAAATTCATGAGGATCATCCAATATACAAGATTTAAATCTCCTAAATTGTTTTCGATCTAGACATACACACGTGTTATTGTATGATTGTCTTATACGTAAATGAATAAGTAACCGGGAATAAGAAGCTCTCATATATACCAGCTGTTGAGTATCTTGTTCCAGCTTTACTGTTTCGCCACCATCGTCTATCTTGGGTGATGAGGGCTAGGTATTGAAAAGTTCTGCTGTTTGGTATTTGAGTTTTTGTTGTTTTCTCTACTTGGTAGTGCCGACAGACGTGTTGGTGGAGCATCGAAAAAAAAACCCACAAGAATATTTCCTCGTGTATAATCGTCTAGTGACTTGACCAAGTGTACTGATAAAGTGTATATATATATATATATATATATATATATATATATATATATATTGCGTTGACAATCCTTATCCGAAATTCCGAAACTCGAAAAGCCTGAAACCGGTGCTTTTTTTTAGGCATTTTTTTTTTTTTATTATGGGATTGTTTACCCGGCATAGATCACTGACCCACACTGTACTAAAGGAAATAGTACACAATTATAATAATAATAATTATTCTAGTAAGTAAAATTTTAATAAAAATGCAATTAAAATAAAAAATATGATAACATTAATAATAATAATAATAATAATAATAATAATAATATTAATAATAATATTAATAAATATATTAATAAAATAATAATAATACAGAGTATTTGTAAAATAAAAATAATAATAAAGAAATACAAGAATTAAAAAAAGATAAAAGTGAGAAATATGACTGAGAACTATGAATTATTATATTATATTATTATTATTATTATTATTATTATTATTATTATTATTATTATTATTATTATTATTATTATAATTTGTGCTATATTTTCGCCCCACAGGCCCTGATGTGGGTCAGTGATCTATGCCCGGGTGGGCTAATACACATTAAATAAAACAATAAAAAAAAAACATTCTGAAACCGAAAAATTCCGAAATCTGAAATGCCTCTGGCCCCAAGGATTTCGGATAAGGGATTGTTAATCTGTATATATATATATATATATATATATATATATATATATATATATATATATATATATATATATATATATATATATATATATATATATATATATATATATATATATATATATATATATATATGCAAGTAAATCACTGTAGTTACGCGTGATCCAAGTATATGCTGATAACCACAAGGAAAGAAGAAAACACGAAGTTCCCAAGCGCTTTCGTTTATTCACATCTTCAGGGGTGAGTGCAGACTAAGGAGAAGTACAAAACAAGGTGTATATATACAGAGGAGGGTGAGATCAGGTCCACAATGGTCAGGTATTAGGTAATGACCCTATTAATCTTTAAAAAGCACAGGAACGGTCGGTAGTCAGGTCAGAGGGTAAGGTGACCCAACCTTCTCACCTGGTTACAAATCTTCTTAATTACAAAATTGTCCAGTTTGTACATGCCATTACTCAAATTCATGTTGAATGCTTCGGTATGTTTAATGAGACTAGATTCTATGATGTTCCTACTATCAGTTGAATTACAAGGTAATATTGAGGAGGCATTATCCCAGTCAATGCAATGCTTGTTATCCCTCAAATGAACAAACAGAGCATTGGATTCCTGGCCTGTCCTAACACTATATTTATGTTGTTTAAGTCTAGTTACAAGATCTTTACCTGTCTGGCCTAAGTAAAACATATTACATTCCTTGCAAGGAACTTTATAAATGCAACCAATTGTGTTGTTGGGGGAGTTCTTGATTACCATTTGTTTAACAGTGCATGAGTTTTTAAATGCCACATTGACGTTCCAGGGTTTTAGTTGTGAAGGAATGTGTGAGAAATTTTTGTGAAATGGTAATATTAAGAGATTCTTATGGTCATGGGTGGGCTTGGGATCAGTTCTATAAAAAGTTTTCTTAGTAATGTTTAGGCATTTGTCTATGAAAGATCTAGGGTATTTAAGGTTTGAGCCAATATTATAGATATATTTATATTCCTCATCAATGAATTCCGGACTGCAAATTCTCAAAGCACGTAAAAACATTGTTGAAAATACTGACTGTTTGACTCTATTATGGTGGGCAGAATAATAATGAATGTATGAACACACATTAGTTGGTTTTCTATAAATACTGAACTTAAAAGTGTTACCTATTCTGTGGATCAGACAGTGTAGGAATGGCAATTTACAGTCGTGCTCTAATTCCATAGTGAATTTGATCGAGGGGGCTAAGTTGTTAAATTGTGGCAGGAAAGCTTTTAGGTCCTCATTACATGGCCAGAGACAATACATCATCAACATATCTAAACCAGACTGCTGAAGGTGGTAAAATATTACTTAATAGTTTCT